GATATACAGTATACAGATACACACACTGACAGTACACACATACCCTTATGGAAGAGTACATATACACACCCTCACCCTTATAAATAGATACACATGCCAATATATACTGATACACACACCTATAGATACAGCACATATTGTATGTACAAACCTATAAATACAGTAAATATATAAAGACCTATACAGTATATACAGATATACACACACAATTGTAGATATAGGACATATATACAGACCTATATATATCGACTTACACAGCTATAGATATATAGAACATACACACACACACACATCTATGGACAACATGCTACAGAGAGTGGCTGATGTCAAGAGACAAAGAGATCCAGGTGCAGGGATAAACAACGAGAGACAGATAGAGTAAGGGAAAAAAAACGAGCACCGAAAAAATTGAGAAACAGGTAGAGTTCCCGCATCCAGCCTATCAGTCCAGAAACCCCACAAGTAACGGCCGCGTCCATCTCCACCCAAGCCCTGCTCGGACCTGCCCAATGAGGATGATGCTCTCATACAGCGGGGCCTCCGTCTCCACCCTGGACCACCGGCGCTCCTGCTGGACACACAGCAAGATCAGCCTCACAGGCAGGCAGCATTACTGCTCACAGCTTCTGTGAGTGAGGCTCCAACAGCAGAGGAGCTGGTAGCAGCATTAAGACAACATCTGATCACTTTCTTAACAATAGCATTCAGTTACGATTGGCATAAACAGCAAAACCACAGGAAATTCTTGAAGAAGTAATGCTGACAAGCTGACAAGCAATTGTAAGAGTAAGGCTTCACCATAATAGAAGTCATGTCAAGAAATAATAGTCATATGATCATTAGTACTACCAATAATAACTTACTATCATAAGTTTGTTTGTGCTGGAATAGAAGATATTGAAAAAAATAAGAAGGAACTGTAATTGTTGGTTTTACAGTTAGAATAAATACAGAACATCAGTTGGAGAGTACTGTAAAGATCAGCAGCAGACAGTCACTACTCTGACTGGGACTGGCACTGCATTGATACTGTACTGACCTGGACTGGCACTGCACTGATACTGTACTGACCTGGACTGGCACTGCGCCTGACCGGCGCTGTACTGACCTGGACTGGCACTGCATTGATACTGTACTGACCTGGACTGACACTGCGCCTGACCGGCGCTGTACTG